CCCTCCCCACCCCAGCTGGACAGTGCCTGCCCCCTCCCTCACTGCGGGGGGCATTGATCTGCCACCCCCACCCTTCTCTCCCCTACACTTCCACTACACCAGACTTACCACCTGGAGGCAGCTGTATCGGATATCAGGACTTTTTTCCATTATTTTTAGTTACACCTCAAGACGTGAGGATTGATGGAAAGTCACTAGTGGGATAGTGCATTTGCTGCCAGTTAATCTTTGCTCCATTTACTTTAGTTTGATCATCATTAAGGTAATGTTAAGTCTAAGTATATTTTTTGTGAAAACTGTTGTAAAGCATTGATACAGAGCTGAATAGAAAGGTTAGACTTTGAAGCTTTTATTTTAGAATCAAAGCTGCTATTCCCCATCCACAATTCATAGTTCTAAAATGGCCTTCAGACCTCAATAGATAGGAAACAACCTAGATATTAGGATTGGTGGCCACAGAATGTAATAGGTAAAGATTTTTTTTCCCACTCTCTTACCCAATTGTCATAAGGCAGGGGTAGGCAATTATTTGGGCCAGAGAGCCACTTAGGGAGTTTTGTTGAGCTGTCACGGGCTGGGTCAGCATGCTGCTCCACCTTCCGCAACAGCTAGCCAAAACTCCGTAAATGGCTCTCCAGCCAAAATATTTTCCCACCCCTGATCTATGGCAGAGAGGTGAGTGGACAAAGGTTAGGGGAACATAACTTCTGTTCAACCCTTTTCTCTGCACCCCTTCCGCTGCCCTGAGTTTTTGGCATGCAGCAGGACTGGGTCAATGCTGTGCTGTGTTCCTGTGTACAGCCTTGGGCCACATGGGCAGAACTGGAGTGGCCCCTGCCTGACCCAGCCGTGTGCCAGGGACTCAGACAGGGGAGGGGATGCAGGGAGAAGGGGGAACGCAGCACAGCTGGGCTCCCAGTTCCCTTCTCCTTGTACCCTCTCCCCTGACATGAGTCCCCAGTGTGCAGCCAAGTCAGGAAAGAGCTGTGTCTACATGGCCTGAGGCAGTGCATGGGAACATAACATGGCACCAGCCCAGCCATGTGCTGGAGACTTGGGGTGCAGGGAGAAGGGGCCTGGGATCCATGGGTTATCCGGGCTTGGCAGGGCTGGTGCCATGCTGTTTTTCTTCCCTGCTAATCTAGAATGCAAAAGACCTGAGAATATAAATATTCCTTCTTCTCCCACTGTTTGGAAAAGCCTAACATAGCATGGTACACTGGGTCTCATGAAAGCTTTGATTTTTATATGAATGACTTGAAGAGTAGCACTGCCTCATTGTTATTATATTTTCATACATATATTCCATTGTGGCTGTTCATATTGCCCCAAAACAACATAAACAAAAGAACGAGTCAAGGAAGAGGTTCAGAATCTAGTGGTTGGAAGTGATCATTTCCAATAGTGTCTCAGTGAGACCTTTCTGATGATCTTGACACCACTGATCACTGGGAGAGTCTCAAGATGGGCATCCTGAGGCATACAGAGATTGTCTAGGCTTCACCACAAAGAAATATCAGGACTTCCATAAGAATGATAAGGATGTTCAAGCTCGTTGACAGAAAAAGGAGAAAGCTATGCAGAATGACATTATCTCCAAATGGAAACAAGACATTTATTGCCACATTAGAGCTGAGACCCAGAGGAAAACTCACAAGTGAAAGAACAAGTAGTGGGAGGACAAAGCAAAAGAGATTCAAAAGTTTGCCAGCAGCCACAACATGAATAGTTTCTTCAGCACAACTAAACTACCTTTGGACCAAGCACACAAGGAGCCGTCGCTCTGAGGTCCAAGGATAGAACAACACTCCTTGAAGACAACTCCACTATCAATGTATGATGGAAGGGAACAGTTTCAAAAGTTCCTGAAGCATGATTCTTATGTGGAAGACGATAGCATCAAAGCCATTTTGCAGCATCCCATTAAGGAGCACAGCTCCTGATTCTCCATCAATGTATTGGTGCAGATCCACCAATATATGAAGAGGCTTTGAAAGCCATTAAGTAGGTGAAGAGCAACAAAGCACGTGGTCCTGATGGAATACCAGCTGAAATCTATAAGCAAGGTAGAGGTTTGGGTTGTAGCCGTGTTGGTCTAAGGACATAGGCAGACAAGGTTCCTTGGGTGAATTTGATATCTTTTATTAGACCAACCCAAATGGTTGGAGAATAGTTATTAAGCAAGCTTTCGGGTTCAAAAACCCTTTGTCAGGCTAAGGAAGCTTCAGCAGTTGGTGTGTGCTCTTCCTGGTACACACACCAACTGCTGAAGCTTCCTTAGCCTGACAAAGGGTTTTTGAACCCGAAAGCTTGCTTAATAACTATTCTCCAACCATTTGGGTTGGTCTAATAAAAGATATCAAATTCACCCAAGGAACCTTGTAAGCAAGGTAGAAGAATTCTCTCATTAATTACATGGCATTATTATGAAAATCTGGAGAAACAGATTTTTAGTGACTTGGAAGATGCCAGGTTGTTATATTCAAGAAAACGGAGATAATTGGATTGCAGCAATTATTGTGGTATTGTACTCCTTTTCCATAAATGGGAAGATCATCACCCATGTTCTCCTCATTAGATTCACTGTCTTCTCTGAGATTCTACCCGAATCCCAATGTGGTTTTAGACCACTCAAAGGTACTATAGATATGATCATTGTTGCTAGACAGCTGCAGAAGTGCTATGAGCAACACCAAGATCTTTACATGGCCTTCACTGACCTAAGGCCTTTGATTCAATCGATGGAGAGGCCCTATGAGATTTGGATGCCCATCAAAATTTGTTATCATTATCAGACTTGTTCACAATGACATGACAGCAACCATCCGAAAGAACAGCTTGAAAACAGACCACTTCACTATTAGAACTGCTTAACTGGAGTTAAGCAAGGATGTGTGATTGCACCAACACTCTTTTCCATGTATATTGCAGCTATCCCACATCTCTTTGCTGATAAGCTTCCATTGGGAGTCAGCATCCAGTACTGTGTGGACATGAATCTCTAACAACCGGTTATGTTCCAGATCCAAAATAAGCAACACCTTCGTTACTGGTCTTCAATTGAGTGGGCATACGTGACGCAGTTTATCATGATTGTTTTGAAGAAACTTTCCTCTCTATAGAGGCAGATAGATGG